TCCCATAGCTCCCCAATTGGGCCTATTCCCAGCCTTAGATTACGTGTGTGCCAGAGGTTGCTCTGACTCAGTTGACTTAGCCTCTCACCTGTCTCAGCCTTTGCCTTTGGTGCTGTGGCCTAGTATCCCTGGCTCATGCAGAGCAGTTGGTGTAAGAGTCTAGCTTGACATGACCTGTGCTTCATCCTGATTTCTGTTCTTCCTTGTGAGTTAAGGTTTGCTCAGCCCTGCCCAGTCTGCCCCTTTCCAGTTGTAGCTTGGTCCACTCCACATCCTGTTTTAGGACTTGGTCACCACGTGGTGATGGTGCTCATGGGCTGAGTCTCAGGCATTGGGTCTGACCTGGCTTGGGTACTCTTTGCAAGTGGGTCACCACCGCTGTGAGGGCTGCTGTCACCCAAGCTGCCAAGGTCAAACTCCTGCCCCCTAGTTTCCTGCTGCCACAAGGTGGTGACTGCAGGGCAGGGCTAGAGGCCTAATCCTATCCCAGGATTCCCTCATGGCATACTCACCATGGGGGAGAAATCTCTCTCTGGCCTCCCAGCAGCCTGGACACTCTCACTGCATGGCGACAGTGCCCATGGGCCGAATCTCAGGCATTGGATCTGACCTGGCTCAGGTACTCTCCACAAGTGGGTCGCCACCACTGTGGAGGGCTACTGTCACCTGAGCCACCAAGGTCGATCTGAATGCTAGCATTTTAAATGTGTTCTGCTGACATTCATCTGCCTGATCTCTCTGTACTTGAGAAGGACCCTCTACTTGTGCTGGGTGTCATGTGGAAATTTCCAGAAATTCAGGTCCTCCTGGACAGCCCTCAGCCTCCTCTCACCTTTGAAACGCTGTTGTCCAAGAGTTTGTCCATTGACTGGATCTCCAGTTACCCAGGATAGTAATTGGCCCTGATAACATTGCCCCCATGGGTTGCCATCCCTCAGCCTCCCTTCCCTCATCTCCCTGCCATTGCTTCCTTCACCTTCTAAATCTACATTCTGCGTACAAGTTCTTGTCTGAGGACCTGCTTCTATGGGAATGTAATGCTCTTCACCCTAACCTTCAGCATCTCCAGTCCCAAAGTTGCTCTGCTTACAGATCTTTATCCCAATGGCTACAACCCAATCACCTTGGATCAGAAAGCCAGGCACCAGTCACTCTAATGCCTCCTTTGATGAAAAAGATTTATTTACTTAAAAGGCAAAGCTAGAGAGAGCAGGAGTGGGAGAGGGAAAAACAGGGTAAGGGAGCTCTTCCATCTGTGGCTTCACTCCCAGGTGCCTATAATGACCAGGGCTGGACCAGGTCAAAGCCAGGAGCTAGGAACTTCACCAGGGTCCCCCACATGACAAATAGGGGCTCAAATACTTGAGGTATATTCTGCTGTTTCCTCAGGCTCATTGACCAGGAACTGCATCAGAAATGCAACAGCCAGGAAACAAACCAGTGCTCACATGGGATGCCAGTGTAACAGGTGGCTTAATTTTCTATGCCACAATACCAGCCCTCCCTGACCCTAACTCCTATTGTTTCATCCATCATGGATCCTCCCGAGGACCACTTGGCTCAAGTTCCACCTCTTCATCTCTGGGAGACTGCCTTGATCCAAACCTTAATTGCTGCAGCAGCCTCCCTGAACTGGTCTCCTTGCCACCAGGCTCAATTCCCTCCATGTTGAGCAACCAAGAAAGAATTCCTCCAGCCCACCTTGTCCTTGCCAACCCCTTGCTTAGATACTTCCATGGTTTCCATTGCTTACAAGAAAAAGTTCCTTTACGGGACAGGCGAGCAGCCACAAGTGACTGCTAGATTCCATATCCTATCTGCACTATTCCTCATAGCCTCCAGAATGTGCTCTGTGTCCTTCCCTTAGCATGCCTTTCCCTTACTTTGAAAGTTCCATTCTATTATCCATCCTATGCCAAACAGCATCACATAGTGCTAATAACAATTGGTTTGCTCACCTGTGAGCAAGTTGTGGTTAACAACCATATGAAGCATCTTTCTACCTGAAGTCCTCAACTCAGTGATGGAATTCAGTAGGTGTGTAAAAGATGTTTATTGTATAAATGGACTTAACACCCATCTGGCTAGTCCATGAAAACTAGGTTAGGAGGAGCTCCTGTGTTAGAGAACCAGGCAATACCTAAAAGACTCAGTTTTAGGATGAGAAATTTCTTGGAGCCTTATTCAGAAATCACCAAATACTACAGTCAGAAAAATCACCCTGACCCAACCTGTGAGATGTTCTGTTGTCATTTTTTCCTACTGTTTGATGTGCTCTTTCCCAACTCAATTTTCTCCAACACTCCTTTAAACTATATGAATCTAATTCTCCATAGTAATGTTTCATTTCTGTTCCAAAGTACTCCCAGCCCCTCCCCACGGCTACATGTGGCCCTGCCCTTTGTGGGCAGCCGCAGTGAAAATGCAGAAGGCGATCACTGTTCACTTCTTTGGAAATGGGGCCCATGATGCTTGGTTACTGTGCATTCATCTGAATCAAGAGAATTTGTCCTGAAAACATAAGCATCTCAAAGGGCAGCAAATATGAATCACAACTGCCAAAGAGAATCAAACATTAACCCAGGTTGTGACGAGGCCAACAAAAGAAGCAGGCAAGTAATTGCCTTCCAGGATATCAATCCCTGCCTTAGACACACACAAAACCTTTATGGATCTTTCATCCATGAACTTGCCCAATTATAACTGCCCAGCTGTGTCTTTAGTTGTGTTCATGATAGGTCCTGGCCAGCTAAGGCTTCCATACCTGATGGAAGAACTGAACAGATAGATCTACAGAGGAAGTCTCATTACTGAAGTGTTTCCATGGGTAGTATTAATTATTTGAGGCTGATTTCAAACCTACAAAGCCTAAGTGAAAATAGCAGGAACTGCTACTTGCTGTTGGGATCTCTTCTTGTCAACTCCAACTTGCAGTGCATGTCCACTGTGTACCTCTTTAACTCTTCTTTTTTCCCCAAAGGAAGTTCAGGAGTGGGAGCATCAAGCCTTACTTTCAGACGTGGTAGACACAGCAGCCGGGGCCCACAGTATGCTTTAGAATCCATAAACAGCTTTCCATTTCCTTTAAAATCAGGAGAAAAATATCTTTGTGGTTGAAAAAAATGTGTATTTTTATAATTTATTTGTTTTTATTAGGAAGGCAGATTTATAAAGAGAAGAGACAGAAAGATCTTCAACCTGCTGATTTATTCTCCCAAAGGCCAGAATTGAGCTGATCCGAATCCAGGAGCCAAAAGCTTCTGCAGGTCTCCCCCGTGGGTGCAGGATCCCAAGGCTTTGGGCAGTAGCTTTCCCAGGCCACAGGCAGAGAGCTGGATGGGAAGCCGGACCATCGGGACATGCACTGCACCTGTGTGGGATGCCTGCATTTGTAGGCAGAGGATTAGCCAGTTGAGCCATCATGCTGGCCCCTGAAGAAAAAGTTTTAATAGACAACACTAATTTAGCCGTCTTTTGCCAGCCATACATTTGTGAAATATAATTTCTAATATCTTTTTATGGAGAACGGAGCCCAGAAAGCCAACAGGTGCCCAGGAAAGTCATGTGGCCCTGGTTACCCCTGCATTCTGCTTGTACCCCACATTCATCCTCATGGTGAGGATGGAGCCTTTTAGACACAGGCTGGGGACCCAGCGTTAGTTCTAAGCCGGCCAGGCTGTTCTCTACCTACTTGACACTTGGTGGGATCTTCCCATCCCTTCACTAGGGCACAGCAGGTGCCGCCAGGGGTGGGGCTTAAGGTGGTGTGCCTGTGTTAAAAACAGCTCTGTTCATGCTTGACTCTACTCTGCCCTGATTGCTTTCAAACGTCTTCATTCTGCTTTGATGCATGGATTTTTTTCTCTTACATCTTTAAAGATGAAGCCAATGCAGTTGCTTTCTTTAATCTCTTAAAACCTTTTAGGGATTTAGTTGCCATTTTTTGTTTTTAAAGAAAATTAAAGCTGAGCAACGATATTGTTGACACCTACTATTTATTTACTGATCACCAACCACATCTTCATTACTAACTTTTAGCTCAATGTCTGGCCAACCCTGGCATTTAATAAACGCTGAATGGAAATGTGATTACAGCCGTGGACTAACTTTGCCCTTGCTCCTCTCACACCTTGTGAGAATGCTATCCATCATGATTGACATGTTAGGGTCATCCCTGGGTCCTTCCTCCTACTATGTGCCGCCTGTTCCCCACAAGCTCTGTCACTCTCTCCTCCTAGTCCTGGGTGCTAGAGTGATCCCTAGCTGGTGGGGAAGCAGCAAGATCCTTGCGCATTGGACCCTGCCAGGGGCGCCCCCTACTTAGCCGCGGGGTCCCTTCCTCCTTGCCACCCCGCACCGCCCAAAACCACGCCCTCCCGGTGGACGAGATCACCTGTCCCTCCTCTGCCACAGCCTCCTCCTTGGGTACCCTTTCACCCCCCTTTGCGCTCCCCCTCCTCCTTCGCCTCCCCCAAGCCCTCCCCTTCTCCGCCTCCTCCCACCCCTTGGTGTATATAGTAAAGGCTGGGCGCCGCACGGAGACACACACTCGTCTGGACACAGACGCACGCGCGCGCGCGCACACACACATACACACACACACACACACACACACACACACACACACACACACTCACGCACAGCCGGCAAAGGCAGTGGCGAGGACAGCGGCTCGGTGACAGCGGCGACCTGCGGCTCCCACGGCTGCGCACCCCCTTCAGGCAGCCAGCTGCGAGGCCAGACAGGAGAGTTCGCGCACCCTCGACCACCCCGCGGCTTCCTGGAGGCGGTGGCCGGATTGCGAGGTAGTGGCCAAGGCTTCCCAGTGCGGGCCGGGGTCACTCCCGCCTTCCCCAAGTGGACCTGCCACCAGGACACAGGGGGCGCGCCGCAGGGCTGGGTGTGCCTGGCGGATCCCGGCACCCGGGGAGGGGCCTGCTCCCGGGGGCAGGACGGCGCCCGGAGGCCGGGGCCAGTGGGGAGGGCCGGGCGGGGGCGGGGACGCGGGCCGAGGCCGCCACCCGGAGCAGTGCACCCAGCCCTGCTCCTGCTCCAGGCGCCACGCACTGGCCGCAGGGCTGGGAACAGCCGGGGAGGTGGCCCTGGCCAGCGGGGTGGGGGCCCCCCCGAAGTGGGTTTCGAGCCACCACCCGCGCTGGCTCCGGTTGCAGAAGGCGGCGCATGGCGCACTCCGCACCCTGGGCACCACACCGGGCCGCCTCAGGATCTGCCGTTCTGCCCCGGCCCGGAAAACCCGGCGCCTTCCAGGCCCTTCGAAAGATGGATTCTGTTGACGTATCTGGCGGCTCTGGCGAGCTGGGTGGAAAGTTGGGTTTTGCTAGATCACCCTGGGTTCCTCTTTGTGACGCTCAGGGAGCCCTGCATCCTCCTGGAGCCCGGTGAGTGTGCATCGGCACCCCGGGGAACCATGGTGCCCCCCAATACCCAGCCCCAGGGTGGCCACACCAGCTCCAGCTTGCTGCCATGTTAGGCACGAAACAGCGTCCTTGCTGTGTTTTTTGCATGCGTTTCGGTGGCGCCTTTCGCTGCGGAGGGAGTTACTACTGCTTGTCTCTGCGTTGCTGGTTCTCTGGTTTGGGGTTGTGCTCTGTGTGTCGGCTTGGGCTTGTTTGCCGTTTAATGCTCGACTATTGTTCAGGCTCAGCTCCGCCTGGGTGGGGAAATGGCATCTCCCCCCACCCCCACCCACAGTTGCTGGCGAGGGGTAGAGATGTTGCCAGACAGCTGCTGCTTTGTGTCCCCCTATCAGAAGTCCCTGGAGTAGGTTTGGGGCACGACGGATGGATGGAGCGAGCGATGGGGTGCTAAGGAGAATGGTGGCTTTGCCGAAGCAGATTGTCACCCACTTCGTGGCAGGCAGGCAACCTCCCTTTCTGTCTGCCAAACTTTTATGAATATTCCTTTTGTCGCAAGGGAAGGCTTAATGAATCTGGCCCATTTTCCCAGGGAAAGCAACTAGCCTTTAACAATGGTTGGGTAACTTAATCAATGGGAAAGCAGGAGAAGAGGAGGGGACACTGATGCCGTGGTTGGGGGGAGGTGCTTGCTGCTTGACAGGTAGGGGAGAGGTGGGCAGGGCAAGGGCAGCACCTGGGTGCCCAATTCCTGTCAACTGTTAGTGGATCTTATTTGTGCCTGCTTGTGCCCCCACAACTGTGCCCCCCACCTCCTGGGTTTCCCAGTAGCCAGCCAAGGGTTTGAGGGGCAGCTTGCAGCAGTGCACAGCCGTCCCCCCATCATCTGGCGTTTTTAGGGATGTGTAAATATTTTGCTGAGGATAAATGACATCAACAGAATGATATTCCACAGAGCCGGGTGTGCAGTGATGGTAAATAGATACGGCCAAACAAAGTTGTGATAAGCGACTATTCTCCTGGTCTTTGTTTTTGTTGCTTTAGCATTATCTCGCATCCTCTGGTGTGATCCCTTTAGTTAGCTGATTCTCTTTGCAACGGAAAGAAAAGAAGCAGGTAGGGAGCAAGCCTTGCAGGCAGGGCCCGTGCTGGTCCCAGGGACTTTCCGACCATTTGCCTCATGTCCCTCTTCCTCCTTTTGAATCATTAGAATTGCTTGTTGGTAAACCAAGAGACTTCAGAGAACTTTGACAATGCCGTGTGGCCGTGCCTGTATTACAGTGCAGAGATGACTGTGGGGAGGGAGGCCAGTGGGTAGGGAGCTACTTCCCAGTGCAGCACTGAGTTCCCACCCACTGTCTTCTTCCCACAGGGGCCCTGAGGAGCTGTGTCACTTGCAGAAGCTGGGAGTGTGCCAAAGGCACAGACTCATGAGCTTGCTGGCAGCCCAGTCTCTCTGTCCTTAGAAGCCCAGAAAAGCCATCCACCCACTCACCCCCCCCCAACACACACGCGCGCGCACACACTCACACGCATGCACAGCACAGCCTTCTGTCAGTGGACACTGGCTTCTTTTCCGACAGATGCCCACTGGCGGCATCCCGAAGGCAGCCTGACACCTTGAGCCACGGCAGGCTGGAACTTGGAGGTCCTGGCAGCTTCACTGTGGCCCAGGGGGACCATTCAGCTACCCAGGACTACCCAGAGCTGGGGAAGGGGGAAGTGGGGAGGGATGAGGAGATGAGGGGTTCTTTATAATGCAAAGAAGCCCAGACTCCAGTGCTTGGCCTAAGGAGATCTGCTCAGCTAACAAATAGGGGAAGCACTTTCCAGGTGAGGCCAGTTGTCAGGGAGTGAGGATTTGGTTGGAGGGCAGTTTGTGGAGTAATGTGTAACATTGATTTCAAGATCTTGTAACCAGAAAATAGATGCATGGAGACAGGGTCATTTGAATGGCAAGGGAAGAGAAAAAAAAAAACGGCTGGAAAATCTGTGATCAGGTGTGGTGGGAGGGACCTGGCACCAGCAGCCAGAGTCCTGGTTGGGATGAACCCAAAACTAAGGGGAGGGGCACTGGGCCCCCAAATCTGATCTAGAATGGGGGCATTGTGTGTGCACATGGCTGTACACTGTGTATTCCGAATCTGCTGTTCAGGATAGCAAGTGTCTGTCCATGACTCTCTCTGCCCTTAGCGAGTCAGAGGCGCAGGGTCATTTTTAGTGGTGTCTTGACTCCAGACTTTGCAGTTTATAATATAGAGGGGCAAGTGTCCCTTCACCGCTCCTTCCAGTCTGGTCTGTTATTCCTCCCAAGGACTGTGATCTTCAGACCACTGCTTGCTTCTGAAATTGGGGTACCTAGGTACTGTGTGTTTGGGCAGGAAGCCCGCCAGTAAGGCAGCATCATCATCTTAGCACTAATAAATCCAAAACGGTTCCTAACTATTTCACATAGCAGCTGGTGCCTTTCCATCTGGAACCCTCCATGCCCCACTGTTACTTAGAAAATGAGAATTGAGTGACTCAGTGATGAGCTGATGCACTGAGTGGCAGGAGAGAGAGCTGTAAGTCATCCTTATATGAGACCTAGAGAAACTCAGGAATTTGTGTGTCCAGTTGGGAATCTGAAGTTCTTGACATTGCTCTGCACTTGGAACCTTTGACAATTCCATGCCCACACGCCCTGATTCAATCCTCCCAGTGTCATATGAGGTGTGGAATATTATCTCCATTTTGTAGATGAGGAAACTGAGGCTCAGATAGTTCAAGGTCCTTGGCGGGACCACAGGGTGGGTGAGGTATTTTGGACTCATAACCATCTGAAACAAGCAAACATTAAGTAAAAATAAGGCAGAGACTGTCAAAGCAAGTTGTTTAACTCTTTTCTAACCAGATGGTAGCCTTCAGCCCTGTAGAAACTCTACAGCTGCTGGGGGAGCTCAGCATCCATGTATATGGTGCCCCTCACTTTGCTCCTTCGCTGATCAGAGTACAGTGGGCCCTCAGAGAAGGGGACCCTCCACAAAGGAATAGGGTGGCTTATTAAATATTCCTGGTACACAAAATCTCACATGGGTTTCTGAGTTAGACTTAACTTGGGGATCAGGGTGACATTCTTGCTGTGGACTTGGCAGCTCTTGTCTTTGGAGAAGACCTCCAGTTGCCATTTCTCCCTCGCACCTGCTTTGTCAGGGCGCCCATCATTTGGGGGCTTTCCAGATGCATGGCTTCTCCTTCAGGGCTCATAATTTTTTAGAAGCCTCTGGAGTCTTCTGTTCCCCTGTACTCTGGTGGCAGTTGGAGAGGTGACTGGTGGCTCCATTAGCACTTCCAGACTTCACACATGAGCCTCCTTCCGCTCTAACCAAGAATATGAACATGCACATACATGGATGCATGCATGTGCAGACACAGGCACATGTAATTGGATCATGCTTCTGTATCTGCTTCACCAATTTATATTGCAAACTAAGAATTGTGACTGAAAGAAGTATGTGACTTTTGCAATCTTCTATCCCCATCCCTGCCCTGAACAGCTGAGAATGGCTAAGATGGAGGTAGCTCAGGTAGCAGATGCTTTGAGGAATTATCCTGCTCTCTGGCCTTCCAGTGCTGTGGGGCAGCCCAGGCATGATCTATCTTAATCTGCAAGGTGGCTACAACCAAACACCCTGAACTGAGAAACAAAAATGACAAGAGTTCATTTCTTATCATTCTACAGTCCAGGATGTGCAAAATCAGCTGCTAGCAGGTGTAGTGTCTACTGAGGTCCCTCTTTCTAATTCATGGCTGGCACCTTTTCATTGTGTCCTCATGTGATACAAGGATCCAATGAGCTGTCTGGGGACACTTTTATAAGAGCACTAATCTACCAATGATGGTTGTGCCTTATGAACTAATCACCCTGAATGTCTCACCTCCTAATACAGCTCAATTTGAGAGGGAGCTCCCCATTCAAACCATGCATGATCCTGGCCATTTTAGTCTCTACTTAAAATTAAGCCTGGGCTCCTAAAATACCCAAATCCCAGTATTTCCAATTTCTGCTACACTTCAGCACCTCATTAATTGTAGAGAATTTTGGAGCACCCACTGCTCAGACTGTCACCCCTCTTCCTACAGCTTTTTGGATTTTTAGCCCATCTCTGTATAATAGAACTTTCTATGGGGATGGAATGCTCTTTATCTACTCTGTCCAATGTACTTACCACTAGCCACATGTACCTGTGGAACAGTTGAAAGGAGGCTATTCCACATTAGCATGAACTATTAGTGTCACACATGTACTGGAGTCCTAAAGGAGGCTATTCCACATTGACATGAACTGTTAGTGTCACATATATACTGCAGTCCTAAGACTTCATACAGGACGAGAATACAAAGTAGCTTATTATTAATGTGTATATTGATTACATGGTGAAATGATAATGTTTGCAATGTATTGGTTAAATAAGAGTATATAGGCTAATGTTACCCCTTTCTTTTTTATACTTTTTGTTCTCATTGTTTTTTACGTTGAGAGGAAGAGGAAGAGAGGTGGGTGGGTATAAGATGGAAGCCAGGAGCCCAGAACTTAACCCAGGTTTCTCTCATGCCTGGCAATGACCCAACTACTTTACTTGAACCACCATCTGCTACCTCCCAGCAGGATGCTAGATCAGAAGCAGAGGAGCCAGGACTTGAAGCAGGTACCCTGATGTGGGCTGCTAGTGTCCCAAGCAGTGAATTAACAACCCCTTGTGTCAAATGCTGCTCCCCTCATTTTTACAAATGTGCCTACTGGGGACTGGCACTATGGTATAACAAGCTAATTCTTCACCAGCATCCCATATGGGTGCTGGTTCTAATCCTGACCACCCCGCTTCCCATCCAGCTCCCTGCCTGTGGCCTGGGAAAGCAGTCAAGGACAGTCCAAAGCTTTGGGACCCTGCACCCACGTGAGAGACCTGGAAGAAGCTCCTAACTTTGGATAGAGTCAGCTTTGGTCTTTGCGGCCATGTGGGAACTGAACCAGTGGATGGAAG